CTCCCTGCAGGGAGAAAAGGTTGGTAAAGCTCAGCCTGTAAGTCCCCCTGGCACACTACTCACACTCACACTTTGACACTCTGAATTGTTTGGTTTTTTTGTTGCTGTAAATGTTGTTTTAGTTGTTTCTGACCAGTGGCTTGGTGTGATGTCAGAGCAGGCAGAGAGAGGAAGGGACCTGGGAGGGAGCAGATGGTGGGAGGGTGCAGGCTGGCAGCAGCGAGGCAGTCTAAAGACTTGGACTGCAGTCAGGAAGCTATTATGAGAACATTTTGTTCATCTCTTCCTGTTTTCACATCAGTGAAATTGAGAAGATTTGGACTTGATTCAATGTCTGGGCAAGCAGTTTTTATTTTTCCACAAAACAAAACAAAAACATTCAAGAGGCTCAGACTGATGGGTTGAGGCCTGATGACGTAATGGGTGGGATATTTTGATATTGTGAAAGCATTTTATTCCTCTGTCCAATTGAAGAAATTTATAGTTATTATAGCTTAGTACTGATATTACAAACAACACCAGAGTATTAGGGTTTCCTTATTTTATAATACTTTTATAATGTTTGTTATATTATGTGTAGATACATGTCAGAATCATTAAACAACACATATTTTTAAAGCTGTAATTACATAAGAGTGAAGATAGTTTTTCTGAATGCCTGGGATTCAGCCGTAGGCCAGCAGAGGGCGAACTCAGGCATTGAAGATTTCTGGACTGTATTTATAAGGGAACTTCCTGTTTTTTTATTCAGTGTGTGGTTTTGACTTGTCAGCTTGAGGCATGATAAACCCACACTCCAGAATTCTGGTGTTGTATGACATTATTTCCTATAACAGATCCTTTTATTTAACACTTGTGTTTTCATCTGATTTCAGCCGATATTAAAACACATATTTCTTACACAACTCTTACCTGAAGTTTGTCAGTGCCCAGCTAAAAAAAAAAAAAAACAATTTATAATTTCAGCAGATTTTAGAGGTTTGCAAAGAGAGAGGGGTGTAAGGGTGTCAGTGGGAGTTTCTTATTTTGTGGGAAGAGTTTGTCCAAGAAATGATTGGTCTGTTTGACGATTGTGGGCGTAGTTTGTTAGATGTGATTGGTCAGATTTACTATTGTGGGTGTGGCTTGAAGCAGCTGGATGTGTAGCTTAAAAAAATAATAATATTCATCATAACTGGAGCCAGGAAGAGCCAGTTGCACCAAATTTGAAGTCTTGTTGAGTAGGGTTGGGCATTATCATATCGTGTGCAATTAATCATCAGAAAAACATTAATCGATTACTTTTTGGCACTTAATGATTAATATGATTAATGTCACCAGGCAGAGTCCACTCGCTGCTCCTCTCTGCTTCAAATATGACAAACATTAAAATAAAGTTCTGTAATTTATTTATCTATCAACATAATTTAAAATTAGATGTACAGCCTGAAGTCTGTAATTTTGACACAGTTTGGAACAGATTTTTATGATGAGCAAACGTTTCCCACTAAATTGGTCATGTGACCAGGACATAAAGGTGTCAGGGACTCCAGAGGGTTAATCGTCAAATTAATCGTTATTGGCTAAATACCATAATTAATCGTGATTAATTTTTTTGCCAATATTGCCCAACCCTACTGTTGAGACATTGTTCTGTTTTAAACTAAATTATATTTAGTTTCACTTGTACATCATCTTTTAACTTGCCACTCAAGACAAGTCGACCCAAGCAGTGGCGGTTAGGACAAACTCCGCCCACACAGACAAGAAGCTCCCCTGTGTATTATCTGTGTTGCAGGTAGGGTTCAGTTAGAGCAGCATTTTGACAGAAACAGGATTTACCTGACAAATGTGATGAAGCTTGTGTGTTTTCTTGTGTCATTGCTTCTTATTCTGCATGTGTCACTAACAGCAGTCTACCAAACAGGCATCGAGAGCTCAGATCTTAGACAAAGCTACAGAGTACATCCAGTACATGAGGCGAAAAAACCACACGCACCAGCAGGATATCGACGACCTGAAGAGACAGAACGCACTGCTGGAGCAGCAAGGTAACCGCCGCCAAGGTTCAGGCTCCTCAGTCCCGTTAAGACCTGAGGGTGAATCCAGTTTCACCACGTCCACTTCCCTCCTCTTAGAAGAATCATATAAGCCTGTTGAAAAGGTTTCTCATTTTACAGAATAACATTAAACCCTCAGTGACTTTCAGTTAAAGGGACATATCATGCAAAATCCTCTCTGCACAGCTAGCGTTAGCTAACTGTGTTCATATCAAACTATTTAAGGTGGAGCTAGATAGTTTTTAATGAAATGAACTGGACCAGAGGTTCTTAATCTATGGGCCGAGCGCCACCTTGAGGGCCTCAAAAGAACAACAGTTTTTAACTTTGGGCCGCAGAGGGCCGTGGGACCACATTGATTTTGAATAAGGTGTAATACACTTTCTCACCACTAGTGGCAGTAGTGCACCACTCAGATGCTTAATAACTTTGTTTAATACACAGAAAAAGAACCTTAGAAACCTGCCAAGAATGGAAACTTATTTTAAATGAAAAGTAGAAGCAAAAATGAAGGTAACCTGTCAAAAAAGGCCAAAGTTTGTCATTAATATAAAGTACAGCTTCTAGTTTCACTATGCTTTTAAAATATTGATTTTAAAGGGATCCCCGATTAGTTGTAACATTAGACTTTATTTAATAAACATATATTTTAACTGTAAAATAAAGACTGTAAAAATACTGTAGGCTGTTTAGTTTTTATCATTTTTAAACTAAAAGTTAAAAAATATATTTTAACACAGACGGAGCCATTTTATTTGCACACAAAGCATTCTGGGTAAATGATGACGTGGATAGGTCCTCGGTGCGAGGCTGCTAGCGAGCTATATCCACCCTGAAGGTTAATCTTGGACAATATCTGATGATCGACTCTTTTAAATGAAACCAGAGAGCGTTGACAGAGAGGAGAAGGTAGAAATGACTCAGCCTGGAACTGAAAATATGGATGGAGGACAACAGGTTAGCTTGTTTGTTGCACTAGCACTGAGCTAATACATACTGTATAAGGCAATATAGCGTCGGTGCTAGCGCAAAGGCTAAGCTGAGGTTCTTCTTCCATGAAGCAGCTCTGTTGTCTCCAGGTCAGATAACACATAAAAGGCAGGTAAAATGGGGCGGGTTCAGAGGAGTAGGGGACGTTGAGGGAGGGTGGGTCCGTGCTAGGCCCAACCCTGGGCCCATCCAGAGTCACAAGATGTTATTGTCTCTACTCAGTTCACTAGAGTTCAGTTTCCTCCTTCTCAGCCATTGGGTTCCAAGGCTGGGTGGGAGTGAATCCAGCTCTTAGTTGACATTTCATCCAGGGGAGGTTGAGATAAACACTGCCCTCAAGGCCGTGCCGCTGGGAGCCAGATAGATAATCCAGTTGTTTTGGAAGAAGCAGCCTTGAAATTCCTGCTGCTTTTTAAGTGTCTTTACTGCAGCTGTGAGGTGGTGAGAAAAAGCCAACCAGCTGAATTTGGGGTCTACCTCGCCTCTCACCGATAGAAGCTCACCCAGATGTAGTCCATACATGCTGAAGGGTCACACCTGAGCTGTGATCCTCGTCAGAATCACATCCAGTTTGCAAATTTTCCCCCCAGCTGAGGGTCTGTGCTACCAGCCCTGCAGAATCCTTCAAGTGTGCCCGAACAGCTCTTCAAAGGCCCGATCCACTGTCAGGATCGCTTTCACTTTTTGATAAATCTGGAACCGTCCTCCGCCAATCAGCAGGAATCCAGTTATCATAATCCAGATAAATAAAGATCTTCCATGTCTTCAATGGAAAGTGGTGCTGGCATATCAGGTTCCAGCCCCAGGAATCAGACAAATCCAGCAGCAACCATTCCACCCAGACAGCCACGTTCCCCTCGTTCCAAGTGTGGAAAAAAAAAACTAAGTCTGGAAAGGAAGGATTTTAAAGCATGATATGTCCACTTTGAGTCAACCCCCTTCCTTTTCCACCACCATGTCTTTATTTCCATATGTGTGTGTGTTTAATGTGTGTGTGTGTTTAATCTGTGTGTGTGTGTTTAATCTGTGTGTGTGTTTAATCTGTGTGTGTGTTTAATGTGTTGCGTGTCACTGTTGTTGCTCAGTCCGTGCTCTGGAGAAAGTGAAGGGCTCTACGCAGCTTCAGACCAGCTACTCGTCGTCTGASAGCAGCCTGTACACCAACCCCAAAGGCAGCGCCGTGTCCGCCTTCGACGGCGGCTCCGACTCCAGCTCCGAGTCCGAGACGGAGGAGCCGCCCACCAGGAAGAAGCTGCGCATGGAGGCCAGCTAGAGCGTCGACCGGCCCAAACCGGGCCACGGGTGGGTCGGCGGGGCGCGAGGACGGGCGAGAGGAACTCATCGCCCAAAGCTCTGGATAAGACCTCCACCCCCAACCCCCCCACCATACATCTCCTCCGTCGTCTTGTTCCCTCCGTCTCCTGCTGGGCTCGTACGCCACGAAACCTCACGCTGCAGATCTCCGTCAGCGGAGGGGAGGAGGCAAACATGGAGGAGGACCACCTCGGTCCATCCAGAGAGCTTCAGGTTTCCCCAGACCTCCCTCCTCTCTCAGTTTGTTTACCATCACCTGCCCCCCTCCCCCTCCTGTTAGCAACAACTACAATCCAAAACAAAAAGAGGCAGCTTGGTTCCTAAAGACTTGATGCTTTTTTTCTACCCGCAGTYAAGCCCCCCATCCTCCTCAGGTTGATGTTTGGGGCAGGAGGAAGAGGCGGGTGTACTCCTCCAAGCACTGCTTTCTAAAATATTTTTGTTATTGTTAAATAAAACAAACTGTTTAGACTTTACACACACACAGCTAGATCAACTGTCCTGGAAAACAAAATGTACATTTTTAAAATGGAAAAAAGAAGGAAATATTTGTAGTTTTGTTTTTCTCTGAATGTGAAAATGGTTTGAGAGGTCACCCACTGGATCACAGCTGGTATCTGCCCAACACCTTTAACCACATTATATAAATATATATATAAATAAAAACAAGTCCTTTTGTTGAATTTGATGTTTTGAAGGAGAATATTCTTGAACTCGTATTTTGTCCTTTAGCTTGAAGTAGTGAATGACTTTAGCTGGCTGAATACTTTTTATATACAAGGCATTGATTGGATGTTTTTTAAGATTTTGCATTTTGTAAGAAAAACAAATCATGCAGAAAAATGCCAGTTTGTCACGTATTTTTAGTTTGAAATGAAATCAGTTTTTGAATGTCCAACAGTAGGTCCTGATGTTTGCAGGCATAATGAGTCCCTGTTCATGTGTTGTGATTTACACAGTAAAAATCAATGTTGCTGACCCCCCCCCCCCCCCCCCCACCTAAAAGGAGGAAAAAAGATGCATTTTTAGCGTCTCTAGGAAATGTGTGTGTATATATATATTGTTTCCTTTTTATTTCCAGTTAGGAGGATATAATTAGTGCGGTAGGTCTTTATTTGTCCAGTTCCATTCTGTGGAAATTACAGGTATGTTGTACATACTGCCAACTACTGAGGCCTACCTTTACTATGAGACTATAAAATAAACTATTTTATCCTTTAACGGGCTGCTTGTTCTGTCTGAGTGAGTCAAAACACTTTAAAAATGTATTTTATTCTTTTTGGTTTTAGTTAACCTCATTCAAGATGGCTGCCGCAGCTAGCCGCTAACCCTGCTAATTACAGATACTGAGGTAAAATCTGGAGCAGGACTCAAAGCTTTTGGGTCTGGTGACCCGTTACACCCGTCATAAACCTGCTGTCATTTTAACCCCTAAATGCCACGAGAATATTAGTTTTTGTTTGTTTTACTAGTGCGTTGGTCTCGTATGTATTTATGCATTTTAAAAAAAATAAAACCCAAAATTTATTGAAATTTTAACGACCCCCAAGATGCATATTGCAGACCCCTGGGGGTCCTGGGATCCCAGAACAGCACAAACAGCTCATAAGCTTTTGTTTTGTTGCACAATACTGTGCAAAATGGCTCCTTTTCATTACTCATGATGCAGGAGAGCCCAGCCTTTAATTAGAAATCAGATTTTACTTTTTGCTAAAAAATTGTTTCAAAATTACAGTCATGTGATTTACCTTTATTAAATTTTATTTTCAAGATTTCTAAAATAAAATCTGGAGCCGGTTCCAAATGAACTAAACCCCTTTAATATAAAATTGTTTCGAGGAACTTAAAAAAATATTTTTTTTTCATTTGGTTTTAAATTTCAAAGCAAACTGTAGGACTTCACAGCTCAGGTGAAACTGAAGCTCTCACATGACTTAAATAAAAATAAGAACTTGAACCCTGCTGAAAGGTCCTGGGGCAGGAGGTGAACCTGCAACCTTCAAATCCACTGAGAAACCTGCTGTTTCAGCAACATTTAATATAAAAACTACTTTTGAGCTTAAAAAACTGTTCATAATTTAAATAAATTACAAGTTAAAAGGGTCATGAACATTTCTCTTTTTGTATAAAAATATTGAACCGTGAGACTCAAGTATCGAACCGAATCATGAATTTTAGGAATCGTTGCAGCCCTAATAAATAGATTGTAAATAAAAGATAAATTCTAAGAGTTGCATTAAAACCACTCCCTTTTATCATGAAAACATTTCTAAACTCCACAAACCCTGTTTTGTACATAACTTTTAACTTTTGTTAAACTGTTTCACAGATTTTTCAAAATCAGATTTGTTTTAGTTTAAAATTAAATTAAAATTGCATCACTGTAAAGATTATAAAAAAGTTTTAGTATTTTGCTCATTAGTGGATTTATTCATCAGACATTTTTAGGTATAAACCTCTTCAGCCCCACGCCTCCAAATCTTTCCTGTTCCATCTGTAAACCAACAGCTGCTTTCATACTTCTGATGAAATGTTTCATTTGATACCAACATCATTAAGTAAAGTTTATAAATGCTGAGAATCAATTATATTTTAGTTATGTGGAACACAACCTCTGTCTTCAGACAGGACAGCAGCGTTATGATAACTGCAGTATAAAGTTTATTAAGTCAGACTGAAACGTACAAAGTAACACTTTTCATTTTAGATCAAAACAAGAAGCAACACAAGCAGAAATTTAAAGCTGTCCAGACAAACTGTTGACTTCTACTCTGGCTAAACTGCAGCCCTCGTCCCGACTGAGGGTCCGACACCCCGCCTCCTTAATGGTCCCCGTCAGACCTGAACCCAGTCCGGTCTTCAGAGGTTGGCTGGTTCACACATAAGCAGCACGGCCCCCAGCGAGGCCGAGCTAGGACTGAGCTTCGGCTGGTTCTGACGGTTCGGTGTCGGCTGAGGCCTCCGGCTGTTGGACGGTGTCCGGAACCGGCAGCCGCAAGAAGTGCTGCAGGGCCTGGGCCACCTTCTCTGGACCGATGTTGTAAACGGGATGAGTTGAAGCCTAAAAGACACGAGAGGAGAGGACGTTTTATTCCTCCTCAGCTGATCTGCAGTTTTTACAGAAAACTGACAGTTCTCAGTGAAGACCTGTTGATCCGTCCGTACACAAACACCTGTGTGTGAACCTGAACCAGTGCAGCAGGCCCACTGGAAGCTGAAGCCTCAACAACAACAGGAAACAGGAAAATAAAAGTGGCACCGCACACTTCTGATGTTCCCACAAAACCCTTTGTCTCGTTCCATCGCTTCTTTCCTTTTCCTCAAACATCAAACATCTCTAACCCTATCCACTTCAGCTAAACCCAAACAGCTGATTTAAAAAACAAATATCCAGCCAAACGTTTACAGAACAGAGCTGCAGACCCAACTAATCAATCCAGACTTTACCGATCCTGTTTTAATGAAAATGAGCCACAGAGGAGCAGTGTGGTTGTGGAGCTTTGGGATTAAATAACATCTAAATAATCCAACAGAAGCCAGGATGTCGGCTGATTTCATTAAAAGCAGAGTTGAGTCGCTGCAGATCTGAAGCTCCTGGCTGCAGCAGCTCTGACAGATTATCTTTTCCTTTCACATCTTTATCTGCTTGTTTCATCTCAGCTCAAAAGAAAATTTGTTTTCTATTTGTCTTATTTGGTTACTGTTAGCATTTAGCTCATTTAGCTTTCAGCTACATTGGCTGTGTCCAAATTCAGGGGCTGCATCCTTGGAGTTTGTGTTTTTTTAAGATTTTTTTTGTCAGAAATCATCCTAAACAAGGTCTCTAAACTACCTCCAAGCTAATTTAAAGTGCTGTGACATGCTTATCCTTCATATACTAAGTCAAAGAAAACATTTATATTTATGAAAATTAGCATAATACACATGATTTTACCCATTCGGTCTTATAACTGGCATATTTTCTTTTGAATTTGGCTCAGCAAAGTGAAACAGGAAGTGACATCAAAGTGGAACTCTTTAAGACAATAAACTCTGGTCTTTGTTTATATAAACATTATTTGAACTCTTCAACTCTGATAAAGACTCAAAATAATCTAAAGAAACATCAGATTCTTCTCTATTTATTGTAGCATTGCTCTGTTTACATTCAGACACTCCCCTCTGACATCACTTCCTGTTTCTTCACGTGCAAATATCTCAACAACTGTTCATCTCAACGGTGTGAAATTTGTTTTTCAACATGTTTTCAATGTTCTCTTTCCAAAACCACGTTCACATTTATTACAAAAATTTGATGTCACAGACACTTTAATATTAATATTAAATATTAATATTTTCTAATTTGGATCCAATTGCTTCTGTTTGGCGTCACGGTTACTAGCTGACACTTCCGGTCTTCATGGGTGACAAAGAACCCGGCCCACGTAGACCGGATCCTTTGAAGGACGCGGTCATTTAGCTACTGTTAACTAGTTTAATGCTCTTAGCTTTAACAACTTCATCTTTGAAGTCCAGTTTAGCTCTCAGTGAGGTGAAAGTTTTACAGAAAACCTKATTTTTATAGTTTATATTAAGTTTTATTCATCTTACATGTTTGAAGCATTACTTTAAGCTCGGTTTGTAGTTTAATTCTGGTCATTTTACTTCTGTTAATGCTCCATTTGTTTTCCTCCCTGCAGACTCTTGTTTCAGGTTAAATTGTTTCAGATCTAATCTTCATGTTTTGAACTGAATGTGAGCTCCAGTCTGTGCTTCAGAGCCATCAGGTCTTCAGCTGAGATTCGATCCTGTAGTTTCACAACCAGAACAGCTCAATGCCCCGGCTGCTCCGTGGGTTTATAGATGAGACAGCAGAGTGGGATCAAACGGGGGTCTTAGCTTTTCTTCCTCCTCACCAGTCGGTTCTCCTCCTTGCCGAGGATGATCTCATGGTAGTGCTCCATGTTTCCAAAGTGCTGAGCGATGGACAGACCACTCAGACAGTAACACGTGTGGTAAAAGTCTCTGGATCTGGACACAAAAACAAAGACATGCAAAGGAAAGACACCAGTGGGTTGTGTGATGTTGTGTTGCTGTTGTGTTTGTTCCTGTGAGCAGGTGCGGTACTGACTTGCCAGGTTTATCCAGAAGGCCCCCCGTGGGGTTCTGACAGCACAGGAGGATGTACTCCTGCAAGGCCTGCTGATCAAACATCCACCTCTGCAGACTCAGCTCCGACTCTCCTGCACACAAACATCAGTCACAACACAACAAAACACACAAACACAAAAGACGACTACGAGCCTGAACCAACAAAAACCTAGTCTAACCTTTGACCTTACAGCGGGGGTGATGATGCACATGTGCAGTAAGTTTAAAGACAAAGTTTACATCTGAGACCGTACCACTGAATGTCTGCTGCCAACTGTACGGGATCAARCTTGTGTCAGCAGGAAGTGAGTTTGAATCGTTCAGATTGAACCCGAATGTGCAGAATCTGAAATTTAATTCATTGGTTTGAAAATAAATTGAAACTGAATTTAAAGTTTTGAATTAATTTGCTTTGAAACTGTGTTTTGGTTTATTAAAAATTCAGTTTGACTACTTTCACTTTCAGTTCCATAATTCAGATTTTTGTGTCACATCCTGGTCCTTGAGAAAGAAAACACACAAATTTATTTTATTGCAGTGATTAATTTGACCTATATGTAGAAAATGTTACATTTACATGATGACATCATGGATCACATATTGATCAGATGCTGCTGCTGACTGATCCATGATGTCATCATGTAAATGTAACATTTTCTACATATAGGTCAAATTAATCARTGCAATAAAATAACTTTGTGTGTTTTTGTCACTTTTACAGTGGATTGCATCAACTCTGTTACATCCAGAAGGGAAACTTCACCAAAGTGAAACATAAATCTGTGGATCTGTGTTTGATTACTCTGCCTGGCTTTCTCAAGGACCAGGATGTGACACAAACATCTGAATTATGGAACTGAAAGTGAAAGTAGTCAAACTGAATTTTRAATAAACCAAAATACAGTTTCAAAGAAAATTAATTCAGATACAAAACTTTAAATTCACTTTCAATTTAATGAAATTTATTTTCAAACCAATGAATTCAGTTTCAGATTKTGCACATTCAGATTCACTTCCTGCTGGCACAAGATTGATCCCATACGACTGATTTATGAAGATAAAAACTGTGGGTTTACAGATGTAGATAAATGTTTAGGTCTCCTCCAGTTTATAAAAATCTGGTGTGTAGAGGATTGTGAAAGCAAATTATTTTTGGTTATTTCACAAAGATAAGCTAARGTTAGGTTGTGAAGATACTTTCACCTCAACACACAGCTGAACCAACAGTGAWGAATCAGAGTGGTGAGTTTACGTTATGTTTTCATATCTCCAATAAAGACGTACCATCGTTGAATAAGGCTCMGTGAAGTAGAGGTAAGAGTCCAGCTTGCCAGAAGGAGTAGCAGCCGTCCACCAGTTTATTACATCGGCCCTGGAAACCTCCTTCATATCTCATCTGTCTGCTGACCACCCATCTCTGAGGAGGAGAGGCAGCAGTGAAAACGGTTCACAGCAGGGCTGCAGCACTGCTGCCCATCACACAGCGTTATGACAGGAGCATGGTGTCCTTTCAGCACCTGTCTGCATCTTATTTTGTCAATCCTCCACAGCTAAGAGCTAAATGCTAGCCCAGAAACATGACGTCAGTGAGAAACATACAGATTACTTTGAGAAGCTAACTGTTAACTCATGGTCTCTGAGTTTAATGTTAATTTTAATTTCTGATTACATCATAAACTAAAATAGGAGCTTTAAAAAGACTGAAACTCAGCCGTCTGACGCTGCGACTCTAAACATGTGCGACATTTTTACCATCATTACATGCAAATTTGATTTTCACTGCAGATAATTTGAATAAGTGCAAGATGGGACTTGTGGAGAGACTGCACACATTTCAACACTGATAACGAAAGCTGCGTCCCAGAAGACAAACCCAGCTGACAGACTTTGTCTCTTTAGATAAACTTAACATCTAAAGCTCAGATAACTGAAGCTTCACTGCAGCAGAAACAGGACCACATCAGGCTTTTAGAAAGTCACATCTCAAGTGACACAAACACACAACTAGCATCTTTCTGTCTGTAGTTTACTTTGAAAGGATTATAAAGTGAAGCTATGCTCACAGCTGCACAATCACATAATCAGGAGTGCAGTAAAAAATTTAATCACTTAATAATCCCAGTTGTCACAACGGTCGTCCTGACGTCACCACGCAGCTGGTCCTGGAACGTAGACACGTGTGGAAACCACCAATTGTAATTTTTACAGATGAGCTTCACAGTGTGCAACGTTTGCAGTGACTGAGGGTACACAATATAAACAACTATGGTCTGCTTCATCAGCAGACTTCTTACAGGCTGCAGGAGAACAGGCTTCACCTGCAGCTCAGGTACATCACAGCATCCTGACAGGTTTTCACTGAGACAACAGAACAAGACCCTCACTCACCAGCAAGGCTTTGAGGTCCAGCATGTGTTCTTTCCCCAGGATGACGAGGGCGGCRGTGCCACAGAACGTGTAACCACCGTGTGCCTCCAAACCTGGAACTCCACTCAGACCACCCTCCCAGTTCTGACAGCTGAAACCATGAGAGTCCTTTAAAACCAACGAACCAAACGGGGCTTTAACCACGCGCAGAGGGGGTGTGGTCTTCAGCCGTACCTGAGGATCCAGTTGGTCGTGTCCTCAAACAGTTTGGATGTGATGATGTTTGTGAGCGAGGCTACAGAAGCAGCACAATAAGCACTCCTGCAACACAGAACCGCCCCAGAAACAGGTGTGAATCAGCAGGAAGTCTGCTCTATTTCACAGCAAACAAACATCCTTCATCTGTTAACCTGAGCCGCCATCAAACTGAAGCTCAGCAATTATCAACCAGCTGCAGCTGCCGAGCACAGAAACTCTCTTCAGAGATGGACGAAAGTCACACAGTGGTTAAAAACAACAGGAGCAATGTCATGTGGGCATGTTTATTTCTGCTTCAGCACGTAAACAATGAGCAGCATTTAAAAAAAACCCAACAAAAAACAACAACGTTCCTTCTGTTTCAACACTTTCACAAAAAAAATGCAACTTATGCCAAAATGTTTCTGAAGAAACACCAAATTCTGCAGAACATCTTAAATTAAGTCCATTTTTGAGTTGTGTTAACAGTGAGTCAGCAAAGTCCAAACTCAGAATTACAAGTGAAATGTTTAGGATGGTTTCACCGTAGCTACAGTTCAGCAAAAATCTTAAAATAAWTAAAACAGTAAGAAAAAATGACCCCCGCTTTGCATGTGGCAGTCATATTTATGATTAATACATGTACAGGTATGGAGATATAAGATTGTTTTCTTCTCTCTGCTTCCTTTCATTTCATTTGTYTTTTATTTTTATTGTACATAGTGTTACGGCCCAAGGCCTTTCCTGTGTGTTTCAGAGTTCCTGATTGGTGCTGATTGTGTCTAGAAGAGCTTGAGATCCAGTTGAAGAGCTGCTGCTGGCTCTCAGGGCGAGGCTTCTCCTTTAGTTGCTCCTTTTTCTACAGCCAACCATGATTTTTGTTAAATAAATTTAATTTTAAGTTTTCCCATGCGTTGCTTCCCTTTATTTCTTATGGCCCCAGAGCCAGACTGTAACAAATGGGGGCTCGTCCGGGATAAATCAAGAATTTTGATTTTTATGAAATGAATAAAGTTTAAACTAAAAAGATTTGTCTTTGATCATGACTAACCTCTAATTATTACATGTGTGTGAGCTATTTTAGCTATAAAAGATAATAGTCACTTAAAGATATTCCTGGTGATTTTACTTCTGGGGTTAAAAGAAACCAAATTATTTCAAAATATGTGAGAAGAGAAAAGAGTAAAGTTTGATCTCACCTGACATCCACCTCTCCTCCAATGTGCATCACAAAGGAGCCGTCAGGCTGCTTCAGCGAGAAGAGGAAATCTAAGAGCTTCTCCCTGAGGAGGGTCAACACAGATCCATTTTAAACAAACTAAAGCGTAAAATATGTCACCACCTCTAAATCTTCAAAGAAACACAACAAACACCCTGTAAACACCAGCCTGCGAGTCACACAGACAAAGAGGAGAACCGGTCTTGTGTTTTCTTTTTCATCACGTGGACAGACGTGTGAGCGCTCACTGTTTTTCACGAGACAAGCTGGCAGCAGGGTAACCTACAGGAGGACGAGCTGGCATTTGGTTCTAATCATGATGGTTTCCACATCAACACGTTCCTGACACTGATGGCTTTAAAGGGTCTGTGACATCATATTTTTGTGACAAATGTGATTGCACTTTTGGAAAGAGAACATTAATAACATGTTTCAAAAGCAATTTCACATCACTGAGATGAACAGTTGAGATATTTGCATAAAGCTAACAACACAAATTATAGAGAAGAATCGTTTGTTTCTTTAGATTATTTTGAGTCTTTATCAGGGAGATGAAGAAGAGTTTAAATAATATTGTTCCAACATAAACCAGGGACTTTATTTTCTTAAAGAGTTCCCCTTTGATGTCACTTCCTGTTTCACTTTGGCTGAGCCAAATTCAAAATATGCCAGTAACGTACCAAGTTTCTTAAYTAAAAAAATGTTTTCTRTGATTAAGGTGTAACTGACCCCCAGTAAAAGCATAACCCRGTCCCCAGGATGTCCCCAGTGGGCGGTGCCAAAAGACACTATGCATGTCCCAAACTGTACCGTTTTGACCAATGGGAAAATTCAACTGCAGTGGCCACCGTTCAACCCATAGAGGGCGCCTCCAACAGAGTTTTAGACCAAATATTGAATACTGAAAATGTCAAAGTTTGAACTGAAATATAAAGATAATACCTTTATTTATTTTGACATTTTATCAGGAAAAAAGAAGCTCATTTAAGGTTTATGTAATTACTCTTTAAAATGTTTCTAAAGTTAATGCCAACAGTTAACTTGGAACAAACTGTGACACAGCAGACTGCTTTAAGCACAGTTTTAATGTAGTTTATTCACTCAGTACAGGGTTGTGCAGGTTTTTGGACCATACCTGTTTATAACCTCATATGCTTCTTCAGTGCCGATGATACAGAGGGCGTTGACGGCAGCGTAGGTGGGGGCCAGGTGGGCGTGTTGTCCCGGTCCTCCAGCGAAGCCCCCCGTTGGGCTTTGACAGCGTGACAGAAACTGACACACCCTGAAAAACAAAACTCTAGGTCAGGATTTTATTGGATTTTTGGGCAAATGGATACAATAACGATCAACTAAGTGATACTAAATGTCAAAATAAAAGTCCAAAATTGGGTTGTTTGGGTTTAACTGATGCAGAACAGAGGATGTGTCCCCCCCCCAGTCTTTGTCCTCTGACCTGCCTTCGTCACAAACGTCTGTCTCAGTATCTGCTGTGAAGAGAATTATAAAGCTGGAGAGACGCCTTGTGTGTGTGTGTGTGTGTGGGTGTGTGTGTGTGTTGTGTGTGTGTGTGAGCACGAGGAAGTCACGTTGGCACAGGAACGCCACCAGCCGCCTGAGCTGGCACACGTCAGCGTTCTAATGACAGCGTAGGCTGGCAGTGTGGCATCGCTGTGAGGTGTGTGGTGTGTTGTGTGTGGTGTGTGGTGTGTTGTGTGTGGTGTGTTGTCATTTACTGAAACCACTTCTGCTTTTTGTGGCAACAACACAGTTACTCTTTGAAGTTGTTGCTGTGTGAAAATTGATAAAGAACGAGGCTTTGTTCAATCATTGTGTTGCGCAATAATTGGAAGCAAAAGCTTTCATCTCACTTCTTCAAAGATGACAACTCATTTTAATTCTGTCACAAATATATTATATAAATGAAAACTTTCTGCTGAATTATTACTTTGGCTCAAATAAACACGGGCAATGATTCAGTTTTCAGAGACAGGAAGTATATCAGGTCTGAAAGTTACATCTGAACAGAAAAAAACTCTAGAAAATCAGGGTTTAAGTGGTCAGATTGTGTGGATTTACGCATAATAAAGAAGTTATTTAAATATTCTGTGTTTGTGTTAATATCTTAGCACCAAAAATAAATCCTCAAATATTTGGTGTCACAAGTTCACAAACGGAAACGTGTGAAATTTAGCACTTCTGTTGCCCACTTGCAGCATTTAAACAGCAAGCAGTTTGTTACATTTTGTGCCTGACGACAGTGTTTTTTCCTGGCTATAGTAGATAATTATTCAAGCACAAACTGTAGAAGAACCTGTGGACAGGTTTTTATTAAACCGTCCACTCGTGCACAACTCACTCAGAGGCGACAGCAGGAGGAATGGGCTCCTCCAGGAGCTCCAGACTGTGAAGAATCCAGAAGCAAAGCCACGGTCTGCTGGCATCCAGACACTACACCCAGATTAGACAGCAGAAAAACACGTTTCACATGATCAGTAAATGACAGATCACAGCAGAGAGATCCGTCAGAAGCACAACAGGCTATAGTGAAAACCTCTGAACAAATTTACAGTCAGAAAGTTTGTTCTGTTAGTGTTAAAATGCACCACTAAGAGACAAGAGATTATAAATATACACACCTCATAAGCATCTGATAAATGACGTAATCCTCTCTTCAGATATTGGTAGTGTTGTTCCCGCAACAATGATGGCCTGATGATAAAGAGACGGTTAAAGTTCTGTCACTGTCTTTAAACCAACCAATCACAACATTAGGTAGTGGTGCAACAATACATGTACCCATATCAAACCGTTCAACGGTGCTTTAGCTACAACACACACTATGTATCAAATACAGATTTATAAAATTTACTTTATCAACTTGTCTTCTGAAGATGCTCTGTGTTGAAGGATCAGTGGATCTGTGTTCGACTACTCCACCTAGGCTGCACTGTGGAGCACAGATCCACTGATAGACGTGGGCTCTGTCCCAGTACTCGCACTCCCACCCTTGTTCAAATGTGCGTTCATGTTGAAGGGTTTGAGTGTGTAGTGCGTCCCACATTCTCCACATCCACCCTTAGCCACGCCCATTTTGGGTACTATTTATGGATTTTTATGGTGATTAATGCACTTAAATGAGTCTGCCAACCACCAATAAAACCAAAGAAGAAGAACTTAAAGAAGTTCTCAGACTCTGATGTATCAGTCTACTTTACTTTATGTTTCTTCTCCTAAAAACCAGTGCTTTTTGTAGCTCTACTATCATTTTTAGCAACACAAATACCAAAACAGTGACTGGTCCTGCCATGTTGGATGTCACAGTTATGACGTAGAGGCACAAGTCGATGATGTAATCCGTACTGTCCCACTTCTCACTTTTCTTGCACACTTATAACCTGCGCACTGCAACACTTTGAATCCACACGTCACAGAGGGGTGTAGGGTGCACACTGAGCACTGGGACTGAGCCAACATTTCATTTAAAACGGTTCTTTTCAGTTTATATAAATGTTCATAATTAATTTAAATAAATTACAAGTTAAAAGGGGCATGGTCATTTCTCTTTTTTGTATTGAAAAAATACTGAACCATGGGAATAAAGTATTGAACCAAACTGAATTGTGAAGTTTCTGTATGGTTGCAGTAATAATAACCACTGAAAGGTTAAACATTAATATTGACGCCATGTTCTGCTGGGATGTTTTGGATCTTGGGATCATACTGGATGTTATTTTGATGTTATTTTGATGTTATTTTGATGTTATTGGATGAGAACCTTCCAGGGGAAAACACAGCAGCCCGCCCTGACGAAGCCACACAGCAGAAACTGATAAGTGTGGGCCTGTGAAGTCGTATCACATCCTGCTTGTTTACGATGCAGTGGAACCACCTGATTCATTGTTGTCCCAAATATCTCAGGAGCTACTTCCAACCGTGCTGCTCTGGTTGTGTGACGAGTTTCAGGTGGGTTTATTCTTGGGCTGGATGTTGACCACACCCCCTCCCTCTCCATGTTTGTACATGAAACACATCCTACCATTAACCCTGAATGTTTCCTAGTTTCTCTTCCCATAGAAACTTCACTCAGAGCAGCTGCTACAGATGATGGCTGCTCACAGTTAGCTACTGCTGTCCGGACTAGTCGACGTCACCGGTTACGTCGACTGCATAAATACGTCGACACGCACAACATACCGTCGACACGTCGTTTTACGTGAATACGTCGAAAGAGGAGAAGGCAAAGAAAATGGCGACACCCGGTCCGAGCAGTACACGTGAAGAAGACCCCAATGACAGAGTTCAGCCAAGGAAATGTCCAAAGACGTCGAAAGTGTTGAAGTATTTTAAACCAAAAGAAAAGGGTTTGGTTGGTTGTTGACTCTGTAAAATGGAGTTAGCCTAGCATAGTAGCACTACCACAATGAAGGAACACCTGAAGTGCAAACATCCTGGTGTTCTGTTCGAAGAGGAAGGCAGGAGGAAAAGTGCAGAATCGTAAGTCCTGTTATATTGCTTTTTGGCATTAACGTAATATATTAAGAATAACGTTGGCAGCAACAGTCTCTGTGGTACTTTCTGATTGTTAGCGTCGGTGTTGTCCTCGTCAGAGAAACTGAAACTTACACACTTCAGGCAGAAATGTTTGTACATGCAGTGGGCAGTGTTGCTTTCACAAACAAAACAAAAAAATCATTAAGGTGTTTCTTTTCCTCCACTTTCTCCTTGTTTATRGAGGAGTTTGCCATTAAAATCTTAACACCGTGATCTTACTTGATCAACAAAAAATAACCGTTAATGAATCAAAAAAAAAATAGTCGTTAGACTAATCGAGTAATCGTAAAAATAATCGTTAGATTAATTGAGAGAAAAATAATCGTTTAGGACAGCACTACAGTTAGCCTGCTTCTGCTCACTGTTAAAGGGAGTCATTCCTTCCCACTGTCACCAACAGATACTGGATTGCACCAAACTGAAGATCTGATTATTGTGTTGCAACTGAACCGACTGTAGTTAGATTTGAATCTGGATCTGTTATTTATGTTGTATAGTTAAAATAAACTGAAATGAACAGAATAAACTAAGAAAATCATCAAATAGTGTAAAATGAGTGGCATATTGTCAGGACCTTCCAGTCTCCTAAAGTCTGAGTTGTTTTCTTTAAATTATGGTAATGTGAATGTTTGCAGTACAGGAAGTACTCTGCAAGCTCCATGTGCACCCTCATCTTGTTGCACAAATGTAAGGCAGTGTGTGTAACTGATGAGTCAAAACCAAGAAACATTTCCACCTAATCCTGCTCTCCGCCTTCCCTTTTCATGCCCACCCTCACTGTAATTATACTCTTCTTACACAGGGTTAGTCACAGCTCATCTCAGTTTTCCTTTTGTTGCAACATTTACAACAGAACAATCAGCAGCAGGTAAAAACCAGTCTGTCAAACACATCAGATAAGTTCCCACTATGCCCTTTAAAACGCTAAGAATTAAGATGAAAAATTACACCTGTAATCTCAGCATCAGGGTGATGAACCCACCCACCTCAGGTATGAATTCTGCAGCTCACCTGATGCAGATTATAAGCACCGGCAAAGACTTGAAAAGATTCAGACATTTTCAAACAATAAAAGCTAAATTAACAGGACAATACAATCAGAAAAACATTTTAATCTTAATTTCAGTTCACCAGCATCAAAACCTTCAAACTCATCTGGAAAGTTCTGATCATTCTCAGAAAAATAAAAGAAAGGAAAAAAGATTAGAGAGAAAACAAGACTTGAACTCCTTCGTTTCAACATTCCTTTAAATTCCACTTTTTCCAAGAAACTGAAATCCAGCCCTGATTTCCATCTGCCAAACCCCAGATCTGCAGCGGCAAACACAAACCAGATGCTCTCGGCTAAACGCACGCACGGCCACTCCTGACGAACGCCATTCGTTTTCTCATGAAACCAAACGTACGTCCAACGTGGGCTGCAGCGCCAGCGACCAGCAGTTGTCATAGAAATGAGATGAGTCAGCCTTGTGGCGATGACGGCTGATGGCGACAGTAAAGTGCGTGGGATGATCAACACGATAAAAGCAGTGAGCAGAGTGGAAGTGCCTGATGATGGACGGTTGTTTCTGCAGCTGCACAGCGTCACGCCTTCAGACTGTCCTTTTTAAACTGAGCACAGTTTCATTTCAAGTAATAAATAAAAAAAATACAAGTAAAATTTCTGTTGATGTTTTCCCTCAAACTTTGTAGTTTTGCAGCACGCATTGAATTTCTGAAAATGCAAATCTGACTACCAAGGAAGTGGCTGCTAATATTTTCATTAAGTCATTAAAGCCGCAGTGAATAAAGGCTTCAAAAGAAAACTGTTCATAATGTGCAGCCAGATGTTTTGCTCCTGRTGTGGTCAGACACTGCAGGTACTCACTGTGGTAAGCTGTGCATTTGCTTGTAAACACTGATGACCTCTTCGATGCTGCTTTCCACTTTTTTCTGGATAAAACAGGAAAGTGTGAATAGTTATTAAGTTTAAAACAACTCCTTAAACTGAGCGTTACTGTATTACAGTAGATAAACAAATGTTCATGTACATCAAATACTTTGTGTGGACAGTTCTGACATTTTATGCAACACATTATTCTAGCCTACATATATTATAACTCGATCAGGAAGCATAAAGGTCAGACACGTCTTTATGCTTACAGCAGAAACACAACACAACGCACTTTTTGTCACGAGCAGGAAAACCAGGACATGTTTCAGTTTGGGTTTTTAAGTTGAATATAACACTTTACTGTCAGTATGAAATTTTATTAAATGTTTGGTAGACTCGGGAGGTAATTATGGTATTTTGTTCACACTAATCCATTATGCTATAGTCTGAATTACAATCTCATCTACCTGCTCAGATTGTTTTTTTTATTGCACAGAACCAACAACACAACTATCTCATCTACCTGTTCATTGTTTTTGCACACATACTGTTATGTAAATGTATGCACCTTATTATATATCTTTATTTATACCACCTCCACCTCATCTTGATCAGGATTCTACCTTACTCTATTTTTTACTTTATTTTAATTTTATTATTATATTTTTATGTTTTTTTGCCTAACATATTTTAATTTAGCATTTCTAACTTTATATTACTTTATAGTTTGTCAAGCTGTTTATGTCATGTGCTAATATGC